CGTAATTTAAAGACAACCAGGGGTAAACGCTAAACTGTCGGAACCGTAATTTAAAGACAAACTATCGGATGTGGGACGACCATGAGTAAACACTAAACCGTAATTTAAAGATAACCAGGGGTAAACGCTAAACTGTCGAATGTGGGACGGCCATGAGTAAATGCTAAACCATAATTTAAAGACAGAAAGGGGTAAATGCTAAACTGCCTGATGTGGGCGGTTAGGGGTAAATGCTAAACCATAATTTAAAGACAGCTAGGGGTAACTACTAAGCTGTCTGATGCGTACAAACATATACATATATATATATACACACACATATATACATATATATACCCCTGCTAAGCTGTCTGATGCGTACAAACATATACATATACATATATATATACATATACATATATATATATACATATACACATATATATATTTTAATTTTTTGTGAGAAACTATGTTCAGGGACATAAATATACAATTTCAAAACGAAGATTTTTACTTTTACCATTCATTTATTTATTTATATTTTAAAGAGAACTTGGGATACAGAGACAAGGTGTGTAATAAGAAAAGGATAAATGTAAAAGAGAGAAGAATGACGAAGGAATGGATATATTCGATAGGTAAAAAGAAGGAGATGAGAAAATAAATAGAGATATGATTTTATTGGTCACGAAAAGATTACAGGTATTTGATAATAAAAGTTGAAAGCAACAAAGATAGCTCTTCTAAACTTGCCAATGGCCCAGTAAAATGTAATAATGTAACCTCCTGCTTCATGCAAAGTATCTCTTAACGTAATCCGAGTTAATCGATCCTGACAAATCATCTCCATCATTGTTGTCAACAGTAAGGCTCCTCCCGAAAAGGCATTTTTCACCACAAAGGCCTTCGTAGCTCGGAGTCCATTTTCCTCGATTATCCTTTTGAAATGGGAGTATTCTTTTCAATACTAGATCTCCTTCTTGAAAATGACGATGACGTACTTTCTTTTGATGAGCTCTCATCATTTTCCTTTGATAGAGTTGTCCTCTACATAATGAGGTTAATCTCTTTTCTTCAATGAAATTCAATTGCTCATATCTTGTTTGAAGCCATTCAGATTCTTCCAACTTTGCTTCCATCGGAACTCTTAGAGATAGTATTTCCACCTCCAATAGGAGGATAGCTTCCATGACATATAATAAAGAAAATGGGATTGCCCTAGTCGACGTGCGAACCACTGTACGATATCCATGTAATGCGAAAGGAAGCATTTTGTGCCAATCCTTGTACGTAATGTCATCTTTTCTATGATCTTTTTAATGTTTTTATTAGCTGCCTCCATTACACCACTCATCTTCGGACGATAAGCTATCAAATTTAAATGTTTGATCTGAAATTGCTTACACATCTCATCTATTATTTTATTGTTCAAATTTCTCGCATTGTCTGTAATTATTATCTCTGGAAGACGATAACGATAAATCAAATCTTTCTTTATAAACTTAAGGATTACATTCCTTGTGACATTCTGTATGAAGCTGCTTCAACCCACTTTGTGAAATAGTCAATAGCCACGAGAATAAAGCGATGCCCATTGGTTGCTTTGGGTTCGATCGGACCGATAATATCTATGCCCCACATTGAAAAGGGTCATGGTGCTGACAGAATATGTAAAGAGAATGCTGGAGCATGAATCTTGTCTACATATATTTGACATTTATGGTATTTTCTAGCGTACTTGATACAATCTGACTCCATTGTTAGCCAATAGTATCAAATGCGAAGGATTTGTCTAGATATCATGTGGCCATTAGCGTGGATACCACAAATACCAGCATGGACCTCTTTCATAATACTTTTTGCTTCTTTTGCATCAACACGTCTAAGAAGGACCATATCATGATTCCTTTTGTACAACACTTCTCCATTCAAAAATAATTTCATAGCGAGTCTCCTTAAAGTTCATTTATCATTTTCTGAAATTCCTTCAGGATATTCCCTATTTTGAACGTATTGCTTAATGTCGAAGTACCACGGCTTCCCATCTATTTCTTCTTCGATATAGAGACAGTATGTTGGAACTTCTCGTTTTTCAATCTTGATTGATCCTACCTCCTCGTTTAATCCAATAATAAACATGGATGACAATGTTTCCAATGCATCAACGATTTGATTGCTTTCTCGTGGAATATGATCAAAAGCTACAGTTATGAAGTCTTGACATAAGTCGAGTATATGATTTTATATGGAATCAACTTATGATCTCGAGTTTCCCATTCGTCATTAAGCTGGTGTATCCTAATAACGAATCTCCATAGACTTGTAACTTTTTGACGTTCATGTCACAAGTCGCTCGAATTCCCATACTGTATGCTTCGTATTCTGCAATATTATTGGTACAATCGAAGTACAATTCGACGGTCAGTGGAAAAAACTTTTTTTCTGGAGAAATTAATACTGCTATAATTTCATGCCCCAGTTCATTTGAAGTTCTGTCAAACAACATAATTCAAACGTCAGGATTTGAGATTTCTTCTTCCTTGTCTATTGTCACGATATTTTTGTCAGGAAAATCCAAGTTCATTGGATCATAGTACTCCAAAGGCAAATCCGCTAGGTAGTATGCAACAGCACTTCCTTTAATTGCTTTCTTCATCACATAAATTATATCATATTATGAAAGCAAAACTTGCCATCCGCCAATCCTTCCGAACAACGATGGATTTTCGAATATGTACTTTATTGGGTCCATTTTTGAA